GTGCCCTGGGGCAAAGTCCCAGTTACACCAGCCTGGTTATATACCTGCACTCTGCCCACTGCTGTCTTTCTACCACTGAAGAAATGTGGTCCTTTTCACCTCTTTTGCAAGTAGCAGTTAAAATCAACAATACCACATTGCAAAAAATCTTGATGTTCTAGGTCCTGTCTTACTCCATTTAAAAGTTTCAAAACGTTTTATAAATATGCTTTCCAGTTTTCTATACCCTGCATAGACATCTCCAGATAGAGAGTAGAATATAAGAAAAAAAAGAAAGAAAGAAAAGATGGTAAATGGGATGATGGAGCAAAGGTGTTTTCTGTTGCTCTGGTAGACAGGACCCATTTCTAATGGTTAGGATGATTTGGTATTTGAACTGACAGAGTACAGTGGTCTTAGTGCTGAGCTTGTGATTATTAAAGAGGAATAAACACTCGTCTGTAGGCTATAGCCAGGCAGAAACAAAAACCCCCACACCAAAATCTCATACTGCTTAAGGAAACGGTGTTTTCTGTTGCTCTGGTAGACAGGACCCATTTCTAATGGTTAGGATGATTTGGTATTTGAACTGACAGAGTACAGTGGTCTTAGTGCTGAGCTTGTGATTATTAAAGAGGAATAAACACTCGTCTGTAGGCTATAGCCAGGCAGAAACAAAAAACGCCACACCAACATCTCATACTGCTTAAGGAAACTAATTTAAAAGGTAAAGGTAAAGGTTCCCCTTGACAATTTTTGTCCAGTCATGTCCGACTCTAGGGGGCGGCGCTCATCCCGCTCTTCAAGCCATAGAGCCAGCGTTTGTCCGAAGACAATCTTTCCGTGGTCACATGGCCAGTGTGATTTAGACACGGACCGCTGTTTACCTTCCCACCGAGATGGTACCTATTTATCTACTCGCATTTGCATGCTTTCGAACCACTAGGTTGGCGGGAGCTGGGACAAACAACGGGCGCTCACTCCGTCGCGTGGATTCGATCTTACGACTGCTTGGTCTTCTGACCCTGCAGCACAGGCTTCTGCGGTCTAGCCCACAGCGCCACCACGTCCCATGGGAAGGAAACTAATTTAGGGTAGTGCAAAAGGCATAGTTCTTATACTTGCGTACAGAAATCTTTGGAGTTCATTTTCATTTGTGTAGATTTGCCTCTCTCACAAGCATGAAGGTGCAACAAACAGGAAGTGCTCTTGGAGAGGCAAGGAATACCAACTCAAACATCAGTATAGAAGAGAAATTGGAAAACACCTGGCTATGTATCTATCCATTGGCCTAAGCATCCTACTACATATGTTTCCAGAAAACTGGACAACCTACTTATAAAACAATTTGAAACTTTTAAATAGAGTAAGACAAGACCTAGAACACCAAAATTTCTGTAAGTTGGTCTATTATAGCACAAATGGCAAGAAAGAGTGTTTTGATTGATTAAGCACTGAGAAGAACGTGTTGACAATGCAAGCAACTAGACAGACATTTTAAAAGCTTCTAAGCAGAAGCTGGGTGGCCATCCATCAGGGTGGGATGATATTGGATTTTTTGTAATAAGAGAAGTTAAGTGCCTGTCCACACTGTGAAGTTTGATGGGATATGGCTGGTGCTTAAAAGGTCCATATCCTCAGTGCAATCTATTTTAACTCCAGTACCCATCCATGAATGCAGAACAAAGAGCTGTTTTGCATCTCAATAATCCAAAAAGATTACATGCCCTAGCCCTGTGCCAGAAAGATATAGGCCAGCGCATATAGGGGAAGGAAGGATTATTTTAAGTAGAGACAAAAGCAAATTATTTTTTTCTGTGCCAAACAGTGCTATCAGGGAACTATATACCACAACTATATGCCAGTGTAGACACTCTTAGATGTTACTTGAAGAATCTCCCAACTTTACGGCTAAATTAACTTATACCATTGTAGAGGAAACGATGTCACTGGCAGCAATAGACTGCCACTAATTAAAGAATCTCTACTTTGATTCTGAGTCATGTATGACTCTCGCACAATGAGACAAAATTGAAACAATGAAGAATTGAATTGTGGACTCCCTAATTAGCAGCAATCTGTTGCTGAAGAGATCATTTCTTCTATGCTTGCACTGGTGACACAAGAAGATTTTGGCCCGTGATGCCCCATGAATTGCTGCTCTCTTTGTTGAGGAGTAAGAGTTATTACTGTTTCAATAGACATGACATGTATGTTGGCATACTTCAAGCAATCCTATGTGTCCCTACCGTATCTTTGTTCAGCCACCAGGAAGTGCCAGCTAGCTGTAACTCTCCATTATATGTACAGTACACACAACAACAGTTTCTTGCATTACTTCAGACATCACAAAAGTGTGTTGTGTGCACAATGTACATCTTGCTCAGTAGTGTATTTAGTAGTCCAAAAGATCTTTTCACACATTACACAACAAACCCACAGAGAAGATAACAGAGGGAACCCATTCCATGTCTCTTAAGTGTATGTACCTTATATTTTGACATATTACTTTTTTTAAAGTCTTAGTCATACATGCAAAGAATGGAATGTTAACATCAATTGTTGGTCTTCCAATCTGTTCCCAAATCAGTGGAGAATTAGTTTCCAAGTTACCTATTCACCAATCCAAAATGATTTACAGCAGCTGGAGGTTGGCAATTACCGCTAACTTTATTGGACACCCTTTACAGAAGTTAATATTGCACATGGTTTAAGAGAACATTTTTAAAAACCCAAAGAAATATCTTTTTTTTTTTTAAGAGAGCAAAGATTTAGGAAGACAATCCCTACATCCCGACAGAAAGCCAAAGGCATGGAACACAAATTCACAACCAGACAAGTTTCCAGTTGCAAGGTGCTGCAGAAAATGAGTACAATTATCCACTGCAACTGTTTTTATTGTTCTAAATAGGTCACTAGAGAATGCAAACAATTTGTACAGTATACAGACACAAGAGGCTAGGTCAACTATTCGTCCATCCATACCTGGGCAACTACTCCCTCCCCATTTGGTGTCCTCCTGTTTGACCAGAAACTCTTTTACTGAATAGTTGAGCAAAGCTTTAATTGCACCTGTTGACCAAATAAGAAATCATGACCTAATACAAATGAAGGCACTGTAGTGCTGCTTATTAATATAACTGCAGCTGGGTGAAGCTACAGAGCTTTCCAGGCATTGTGTTAACAGCTACTAAGTGGATGTGCATAGCGTTGGGGCTGTAGTGCATAGGGGAAGAAAGTGGAACCAAAAGAGCGCTCTTTTAATGAAAGAGAGGATTCCACCATACATTTTTGGACTACAAAAGAGGGAGGGGGCAGGAAGTGAACAAAAACCCAGAGCTCCATTCTTCTAAATTATTCACCTGCAGCCTCTTGCCCTTCTTCATACACAGGCCTACAAAGCCATGGAAATACTTAGGAGTGGCATAGGATCCTTCATTGGTGGGGCCTACCCCGTAAATATGTATAATATATATAAGATTCCCTTTCCCTCCTGCTGTGGAGGGAGCTGGATCATGAATTAAAATCTAACTTCACCCTAGGAAGTTTCCTCTTTTAAACACAAATCATTTTGCCCAAGTTTGTGGCAATGTTCCCTCCTTCTCCCAGGACATGAGCCGATCTCCTACATTCAACAAAAATTATTCCCTATGGTGGTTAGTAGTGGTTTGCTGTGGCTTTCGTGCCCTTGGCGCTGCTGTGCCTCAAGAGTTAGCCAGCAAGGCTAGGGTATGAACATCTATCTCTGGAGGAAAAGACAGAATGGTAATGGGGAGACAGCTATTTTCTCCCCCCCCCCTCATTCGGCTTAAGAAATTTACTTGTTTCACCTACCCACACTTCATTCTTCATTCTCCTGCCCCGAGCATAGCTTGGAAATGTTACTTTTGGACTACAGCTCCAAGAATCCCCAGCCAGAGTGGCCACTAGCTGCCTGTGGGAGATTGGGAATTGTCATCCCAAAAAAGGTAAGATTTCCAAGCTTTATTCTCATGCCACCTGACCCAGCCAAGGTCTTCTTTTGATGGATCAGGTGACTCTCAACGGGGGCTCTCTCAATCTCAAGGTCTTCTTTTGATGGATCAGGTGACTTTGCTGCCTCTCAACAGGGCCTCTCTCAATCGTACCAGCCTCCTCTTCCTGTCTACTGAGCACCACCAATAAAATTCCAGATTGCTTTAGCATTAAATTTGGGGGTTGGGAAGGTAGGGGAAAAATAATGCCCCAGGGTAGCCATTTCTGCCTTACAAAATACTACATGTAGCCCCAGATGGGGATATGGATGTTGGGTGTATGCTTGATTAAACGGATGACTCTGTCATAAAAGCGTCTAATGCACAGATAGAGACAGCCATGTCCAGCATGTCCCATCATTGGCTGGCTATCCTGTGGCAAGGGGCGGTAGAAGTTGCCAGCTAGCACATCTGGAGAACCTCAAGTTGCTCACCCCTGATCTAATGGGGGAGTAACCGGGAATGAGTCTTGTCCCTTAGGCCTCTAACCTTCTGCTCTGTTTGGCCCCTGTGGGTACCTCTCACACCTGATTGCCTTTTGCTGAAAATGTCACCACGAGCAGCACCGTTCAAGGGCACCCAGGCTGCAGTTGTGCCCGCACCCACATACATAACAGAGCCAGGGCTTCTTTGCCTATCCCATTCAAGTCCTTTCAAAGGTAGGGCTGTTGTAGGCAGGCTGATACAGAACTGTTCAAATGACTCTGTACCTATTTATCTCCACGTCTTTGCTCTGTATATTTCTTTCAATCCCTTTCGATTCCGTCGGCATCCACCAGCCTTCTCCTAGCTCTTTAAGAAGGCCCTGCCTAGGCTTCTGCCTGTGAAATCCTTCCTACAGACTTCCTACTCCCCAGAATGGTCCTTTTTTCCCCCTTCCCTTTTCCCCCTGATCTCCCACCCCCATCCCCTCCTGGTTCCCCAATGGCTTTTCTCTTT